AATTAAAGTATATAATTAGTACTGCAGTGTCAATTATAAAACCATAATTATTTATTAAACAAAAGCATCGGAAGACTGACGAACGTCGGTGGATGTTAAAATATCTCGTCGCTGATTGGCCACAGAGGAGAATACCCCGTCTCGGTTGGTTAAAGTGACTCTTGGATGCGCGTGCTGCGTTTACCAAATGGCATAACAATGTTACCAGGCACAAAGTGCATATTGTGGCCAGGGAGGTAGCCACTAATGAGATATTGTCGCCCATGTGTCCCACGACGTAACGTCTAACCAACAAAACGACGATCACTTTATGGTTCATACGACTCTCTAATATTTCAATTCATTATTCAAATTATATAGATTATTATTAATGCTATTGTATTTTGATTGGCTTCCCTTTGGTACGACTATGTGACTTCATGTTCTATCATTCATAGCTTCACTAATACAGCTTCATTGGATAATTTTTTTAATGTTAGACTTCAGGAATTAATTTCTTTTTTAAAGAAGAGAATACGTAACGTAGACTTGGATGAGTACGTCTCTTTTTTTCAGAGTTTCTCATTCACTTTAATTTGCGCAATGGAATGTTTAATCAGAGTCGACTGTGAACCAATGGTAAAATCGAAGTTCGTTCTCTGGGAATATTTTCCTATATCAATTTGCGATAAAACAGTTTGAAAAACTGACATGATGTAGCCTTTTGAATTTTTAAAAAGCAGAACATTTCAAACATGCTCCGATTTTCGAAGGGAAAAGCAAAGGGTATTTTAATATATTTTTCAGTTTTCTAATAAACCTTTGAAAAACGTTGAAAAGCTCTCGCTTTGTGCAGGAACAAACGTACGATCTCGACTCCTTCGCAATTCAAAGTTTTAATACATTTCATGAATCAACATGCAGGAATTTTGTCAGATTTATTTGGCATTAATTAAAAAAGAGAAGAAAGATTCGTGGTAAATTTTGTTCACGAGTAAAAGAACGGTTGCATTTAAAGCGAGTATTCTGGAATTTGCGTTCCACGAAACCACTGCCCTGGGGAATAGCTCTGAAGACTTGGAGTAGGATACACGTAGAAAGAATTCTGTGGTTTTCAAATGCCGTTTAAACCATCTCCATTTCCTGTTATTAAACTTATGTCCTTGAGTCACGTCGACAAATAAATAGTCCTCATATAACAATTTAACAAATAATTTATTGCAAATTTATGGCAATTGATCCTCAGTAAAAATAATGTTAATCACAAATTGAGAAACTGGCTGATACCTAATATTGCGCAATTGTGAAAACTGTCAATGATAAATAAAATAAAATATATTTATTGTTAATCACTCTTCTGTATAAATTATTTATATATTTTATGTATTTTATTTATAAGAAATA